CTGGGAAAATTTCAGAGGAATAATCCACGAACATTCAAGGATAGATATGACTTGGAGGGTGCTTAAGCATGGCTGGAAGAGATTGAAAATATTTTTTGAATGGTGGATTTGTACTAAGGAACATAAGGTATTATTTGATACTCACATGTTGTCTGGGGAAGTTGAAGATTGATGGGATAATGCACGTCAGAGGCTAGAAGTTACAGGTACTAAGATTACTTTGGTTGTGTTTATAGCGCAGTTTCTAGATAAGTACTTCCCTAAGGATGTTTGTAGAAAGAAGGAGATTGAATTCCTTGAGCTGAAGCAAGGAAATCCAATGTTTGCAGAGTATGCTGCCAAGTTTGAGGAGTTGGTGAAATTCTGTCCCCATTATAATAGTGTTGTTTCAAAGGGTTTGACGCCATCAAGTTTGAGAACGGGATGCATCTCGAGATCAAACAAGTTGTTGGTTGCTAAGAGTTCAACCGCTTTTTTGTACTAGCGAAGAAGTGCAGAATCTATGATGAGGACAATGGAGCCCAATCTACTCACTACAAGAGTATTAGTGAGCATAAATGGAAAATTCAAATTTGTGGGAAGCCGTACAGTGATATAGCCGACAAAGGAAATAAGAGGGTATCAGATGAGAATAAGAAATATGGGGGAGAAACTTCTACTTCTATGAGGTGCTTTAAATGTGGTTAGTATGGGCATCATGCTTCTGAGTTCAAGAGCACAACTGTGAACAACTTCAAGTGTGGGAAACCAGGTCACAGCGATGCTGATTGTAGGAGTAATAATATGACTTATTTTAACTGTGGAGAGTGAGGTCATATTAGTACTCAATGTGAGAAACCTAAGAAGGATCAGTCTACAGGGAAGGTTTTTGTGTTGTCCGGAGCAGAAGCTATTGTGTTAGATAACTTGATTCATGGTATGTGCTTTATAAATAATACTCATTTGATTACTTTTATTGATACAGATGTGACACATTTATTTATATCTTCTGAGTGTGTTTCAAGGTTGAAGTTAGAGGTATCTGCTATGAATGGTAGCATGGTCCTTGATACCTTAACTAATGGTTCAGTAACTACTTCTTTGGTGTGTTTGAATTGTCCTTTGACAATTTTTTGGAGATATTTTGGGATGCAATTACTGTGTTTTCCTCTAAGTCAACTCGACGTTATTTTGGGAATGAATTGGTTGGATTTCAACCATGTGTTTATCAATTTCTTTGATAAGTCGGTGCAGTTTCTTGATTCTGTAGAGAATACATAGTCGATTTTTGTGACCGTGAGGCAGGTAGAGATATCCATGAGTGAGAATGGTCAAGTGTTCATGATACTTGCATCCTTGAGTGGGGAAGCGAGAGAATGATTACGAGTTTACCTATTATGTGTGATCTTCCCGAGGTATTCCTAGATGACATTAGTGATTTTCTTCCTGTGTGTTGACTATCAACAGATGAATAAAGTGACAATTAAGAACAAGTATCCACTTTCGAGAATTAGTTATTTGATGGATCAGTTGGTAGGTTCTTGTGTGTTTAGCAATATCTATTTGCGCTTGGGTTATCATCAGATTTATGTAAAGTCTGACAATATTCGGAAGACTACTTTCAGAATGAGGTATGGTTGCTACCAATACTCGGTGAAGTCATTTTGCGTGTCTAATGCGCTTGGAATGATCATGGAATACATAAATAGAATATTTTATCCATACTTAGAAGCGTCGGGATAAGAAATCAATTTCTCCAAATTTGAAGTGTTATTTAGCCAAAATATCAGTAGACCGACCCGTGACTATATTGTTCAATTAATGGGAATGTGTCATGTATTAGGAACATGTTCTTACTTGGGATTATCATTGATGATTGGTAGAAGTAAAAAAGGCGACTTTTGCTTTTATTAAGGACCACATCTGGAAAAGAATCAACTTCTAGAGTGGTAAATCTTTGCCTAAAGCTAAGAAAGAGGTGATGATTAAATCAGTCTTGCAATTTATACTGTCTTACATTATGAGTGTGTATCTTGTTCCATATTACGGGGTGAATGATATTGAAAAGATGTTGAATTCATTCTGGTGGGGTGGTGGTAGTAGTAATAAACGAATTAAGTGGTTGGCTTGGGATAAGTTTATGTGATTTAAGAAGGAAAGAGGAATGATTCAGAGACTTCAAAGCCTTTAACTTGGCTATGGTGGCTAAACAAGGATGGTCAATGTTGACAAAACCCCACTCCCTTGTCTCCAGAGTCTTCAAAGCAATGTATTTCCCTAAATCCCCTTTTCTTGATTCCACTCTTGGAAATAACCCCAATTTGTGTGGAGAAGTCTTTGGAAAGCTAAGGATGTCTTAACAATTGGTTGCAGGTGGAGTATATGTGATGGAAGTAAAATCAAGGTAATGAATGACCCTTGTCTAAGAGGAAAAGGATAAGGGTGTTTGGGTGGTCCTCAAGGGAAAGGTGTGTAAGATCTTTATATATGTTAAAAATCTCATGTTGCATAATGCCAAACAATGAGATGTGCAAGTAATAAATTCTTTGTTTGACCGTATAATTGTTATAGAAATCTTAAAGGTCTCGTTGGTGGATGATATGTTAGAAGAAGGTGTTGTTTGGCAAGAGGAGAAAAATTAAGTGTATATTGTCAAGTTTGGGTATATATTGTGAAGGAATGTCCAAGCGAATCATTGTAATAGCAAGATGAAGGTGAATTGGGAAAACCTCTGGAATATTACCGCTCCCCCTAGAGCTAAACACTTATGATGGAGGATTTGTAGGGACTACCTACCATCTTGTTCTCCGTCATCATTATGTCCAATGTTCTTCTATCTGTCAGCTTTGCGAGATTGAAGATGAGGATGATTCACATTTGTTTTTTGGTTGCACTACTACAATTCAATGTTGGCGGGCAGCAAGTTTGTCATCTATAATTAATTCTCGTGTTTATGCTTTTACTAATGCTAAGTCCCTTATTCTTGACATTTGTAATAGAGAGGATATGAGGGATGCTGATAGGTTTGCTGTGATGTTTGAGGTGCTTTGGAAGAATAGGAATAATGTTTTTTGGAATAATGTTCGAGAGATGAGGTTTCGAGAATTGGCTTGCAGGCATATTTCAATTGGCAAGATTGATTTTCAGTTCATAAAGAGAGTGATTTAAATAATACCTCTCATCACCCAACAGTTTAGAGTCCTCTAAATAAAGGGAGATTGAAGTGTAATATTAACGCTAAATTTAATTTTTAAAGAGGCACAACTAATAGAGGGTGGTGTCTAAGAGATAATCTGGGTAGATTGATTATCGCATGTCTGACTTTGGACGTTGGCCTCCTCTCCACCATTGAAGCTGAAGTCATAACATTAAAAGAAACTTTGCAAGGTTTTATATCAGTTCAGTTGAATAATGTGACCTCCATGAGTGATTCCTAACTAGTTGTTTAGACTATTCACTCTGAGCAAGTAGGAAGGTCGGAATTATTGATCTAGGCGTAGTATTGATAATATAATACATCCTTTTATTGAGTATTTGTTAAATAATGAAAGTCGTTAAGATTGTTTCTATCACTATGTCAAAAAATACCTTTAGCAGCGCTTTTTTTAGCCTTTAGTAGTGCTTAAAAGCGCTGCCTAAAGATAAAGACAACGTTTTTTTAAAGTAAAAAGCACTATTATAGGTATTTTTTAGCAGCGCTTTTACAGAAAACGTTGTCTTTTCCGCGCTGCCAAAAAACATGTTTGCAAAATTGAACATCATTTATTCCATTAAATTAACTCAATTGATAATTGTGCAAAGACATTAAAGATAGGGGTGCAGGTTCATTTTTAAATGGTGAACTTTACTTGAAAAAAAAAAAATTAGACGCCATCACTAAAATCGAATTTAAAACTTAATAGTTATATATTTGAGTTTTTAGTAGTTATTTTTAATTAGTCTATAAATTAAAATAAGTGATAATAACGATCACTTTCTTGCCACTTAGTTGGCATCCTATGTAGAATACAAAATGGATTTTGATATAATTTCAACTTGGACCATTGATTTTGCAAAGCTTTATTATTAAACTAATGTGTTATTCGTGTAACATCATAAGTCATGTGTGATTTTGCAGATTTAAAAAAAAATGATTTTGCATATTTTTTTGTTTTAAAAAAAGTGATTTTATCTTATTACTTAGTTATTTTAAATTCAATTAGAATAAATTATAATAATATATATTAACATCAATTAATTTAAAAACTTGAATTAAAAATTAAATTTAAATATTCACTATTAAAGATATCAATTTGATAAAAAATACATAACTTTTTAAAAAATATATATATATATTAAAATTATTTTGTTATAAAAAAAAGGTATTCAAATGGGTTACAAATTTAAATAATTTTCAAAATTTTATTTTCCAAGAAAAGCCGTTGTAAAAAGTCATAGTCAAATATTTAAAATTATTTTTTATGAGAAATTATTTTAATCAATTTTTTTGTTTGAATTTTTTCAAAAAAAAAAAACTTTTAATTAGGTTATAATGAAAAATAAAGTTTTTAAATCTATATTTTTAAATCTTTACAAAAACAGATGCTCTAAATATAATCTAAAAATTAGTTTCTATTTGACTAAATAAGTATTGATGTTAAATATTAATGTTTGCCAGCTTTTTCTTTTTCTTTTAGTTCCTGTTTTATCATTTCGCGCTTGATAACACGAACAAATAAACAATATGTGTCTTATCCATTCTACTCTTTTGCAAGTTTATTACTAATTCTTTCTATGTGATTTGAAGATTTGTGTATCATTGTAAAAATACTTTTACTCATTCTCAAACATAGCATTATAAAATTATTTTGTTTACGCTCGAAAATAATATTTTTTTACATTAATATTCTCAAATGATAGAGATTTTTTTCTCTTCAAAATAATGAAAAAAACAATTTATTCTAATTGAAGACAATGACTACATTAAGATCCATGATGCTTAATGCTACATAAAATTATTTATTCATAAATAAAAACACAAATTAAGGCATGATGTTCAAATCAATGTTCTTAGATGCTTCCCCTGAAACCAAACCATTGTTCAAGTCAATCACACCCCCAATAACTTCTTCAACCACAATGTTTTGATCGTTCTGTGGATTATCCTGTAATGGACCCTGCGATTCCCCAGCACCAGTTCCACCATATATATATCCGCATCCACCAGGGTATGGAACAATCTTGCTTAGATGTATTCCTTGTACGCCATGAGAGACGTTATCGCGAGGTTTGTTCAAAGCTTCAACAACTTTTTTTAGTGACTCCTCACATTCCTGGCAGTTTTGCTTTGCACTCAATGCCAGTGGAGAAACAAATTTTCTGCGGCAAAAACTGCAGGAAAAAGCTTTTTGACATCCCTTAGTTGGATCAATAATGAATCCGAAAAGAAGGAATGGAGTAAACTCCTTGGATGAACTTGTCGATTCATCGACACCAGCATCGATTCTAGGACTCTTTGAATTCTTTGTTTCAGCAATAGTATCACCTTCCAGCGCGATTGCCTTTCGCTTGTTCTGATTCTCCATAGTTTGCGAGTCGGTTACTGATTCTTCATTCACTTTCTCCTTCCCCTTGTATGAATCTTGATTAGTGTTGCTCATGGTTGAAGGAGAAAATGAAATGCTGTGCATTTTGGTGATGAGAATTTGAGGGATGGTGTAAAATGTGAAAACTCTAGTGTATTTAAATGCATGCATTAAGAGGATTTAGATGGTAGGTAAATAAAGTAATATATAATGAATCTATTGGTCTAATATTTGTATTTCTTTTCTCTTTATTTTTATAAATATATTTAATTGTAATAAATAAATTTAGATTATGGTAAACTAAGGTTAATTTTTTTAATAAACAAAATAGTATTAATGGAGAGGATAGGGATACTCCATCCAGCCCATTACAGAAAATCAGAAAGAATACATGTTACAAATAGGTAAGAGATAAAGTATTAATTGTGGAAATTAAATTTTTTGAATTTATAATAAAATTTATGTATAATCTAATAATTTAAATCTATATATTGTAGAAATTTTAGATTAAACTCAAATTTTAAATTGTGTGATTCAAATATTCAACAATACGTGTCAACTTCAATTAATTTGTAGAGTTTAATAGATATATAGTGACCGTGTAATATAATTGTATATTGTCGTATAATGAAAAAACAACAATTTATCATGGCAAGAAATTTTAAAATTTAAACGTGATTTATGGAATATACATCAGTTAGTTGTCAGTGAAAAAATATTTTACACGACAGTGAATATCTTATTTGCTATAATTTGTGTAATTGTCTTTTTAATATTATATATCTTTTTTAACATTATTTTGTAAAAAGTAAAATATATTTTATTGAGAAAGTATTTTTAAGCATAGTCTTTTTTTCAGAATTAATTTAATAATTAATCTATAAAAACATATTCAATATCATGATTAAAATTATTATCATAGTTTATTGCGGAAATTAATAAAAAATAAACATGCATGTAAAATAGTATTTAGGAATGTACGACATGCTAATATATTAGAGATTAATGAAATGAATGTGTGGATAGATCTAAATCAAAAGGTTTGTAGGGAGTGAGTGTGGTAATCTTAAAGCTCAAGTAAAAAAAGAGACACAGATGACGAGCATTCGTTGGTTTGTGGTTTTTTGTCCACCTAACTAGTTTTCTTAAATTTTAGGTCTCTTCATCTAGGGAGTAGATATAATATGCAACTTGTCTGGTATATTGCAGACCGTAGCTTATATATAGTGTATAGAAGATGAACTTTGGAGTTCATCATATTACTGTGAGGTGTGTAGAAACCATAAACATAAAGGTAGAAGACGAAGTTTAAAACGATGAATGAATCTCATTCCATTATTATTACAAGCAGTGGTAAGAATATATATTAGCAGAGTTAACGAAAAGGGTTTAAACTAACACCTAACCATCAAACTAACAACTTATAACCGTAACAATTAACACCCTAACTATTTATCTATAACACCCCTCAAACTGAAGGACGATGATCTTCATACACAACCTTGAGTTTGCTTTGTAATTCTTAAAAAATTGTTGTACATAGAGGCTTTCTAAGAGTGTATATTATATGGGCAGTAGTTGGAACATGTTAAATTGACATTCTACCAACAACTACTCTTTCTCTCACAAAATGAATACCTAGTTCAATGTGTTTAGTGCGGGCATGAAGAACCAAATTATGAGATAACAAAACAAAACTAAGGTTGTCACATAAGAGTGTTGATGTGTGAAAAGGATCTTCGAGTTCAGGCAGTAATGAGCAAGGGCTCGATATTCTGCTTCAGTCTTCGAGCAAGCCACCAAGGATTGTTTCTTAGAACTCCAAGATACTAGATTTGGGCAAAAAATATATATACGGGCCAGAGGTTGATCTTTTATCATTTGGGTTACTAGCCCATACTGAGTTGTTGTAAGCTCGAAGGAAGAACTTGGGAGCTGAGATGGAGGGAGATAGCAGGAGACCATATTTAATTGTACCACTTAGATACCTCAACATCCTTCTAACAGTTAACCAATGAGTGTCAAAAGGACACACCATGAACTGGAAAGCTTTGTTGACACTAAATGCAATGTCTGGCCGTGTTAAAGTAACATATTGCAGAGCAACCATTATGGATCTGTACAACTGGGGTCGGAGAAGTTATTGGTACCGTGTTTGTTGAGTTTACATGTTCTAAACATAGGATTTGGAACTCCATTATCATTGTCCATCTCGACCCCTGCTATAAAATCTTTGATATATTTGGACTGACTTAGAAGTAATGATCTATTACAATAAAACTTTACTTCAATACCTAGAAAATAACTAGGTCGATCCAACTTCTTTAGAGCAAATGCACTGCGTAATTTTTTTATTAAGTCATGAATGAGAGCAGAGCTAGAACCAGTAATGAGTATGTCATATACATAAAAAATAGCATCCAGTGAAATAAATTGTTTGCAATAGACAAAGAGAGAGTTATCACACTTAGAAATAGTGAACCCAAAGTGGAGCATAGCTTGATACAATTTCTCATACCAGGCCTTTGGGGCTTGTTTGATACCATATATAGCTTTGTTGAGCTTTCATACAAGAGTTTTATCAGTAGTTACAAATCCACAAGGTTGTGTCATATATACCTCGCCATTTAGATTTTCATTTAAGAAGACATTATGCATATCTATTTGTTGAATATCCCATTCGTAAGTAATCGCAAGGGTTAAAATTTATGTAACGGTTGTTGGCTTTACAACATGAGACAAAGTTTCAATGTAATCAAACCCTTGTTCTTGATGAAAGCATTTAGCAACAAGTCTGGCTTTGTGTTTTTGAATAGTCCCATCTACATTTTCTTTGAGTTTAAAGACACATCTACACCCTATAACTTTTTTGTGAGGGGGTAGTGTGGTTAGGGTCTAAGTTTTGCCGGCATGTAAAGTATTGAACTCATTTCTCATGGTCATTTCCCATTCAGGTTTGTTCAAGGCTTTCTTGGTACTAGTAGGTTCAGACTCAGTGTGAGCTATGCAGGCTTTAGGCTTTGACTTGTGAGAATAGATGGAGAATGAGATGAATCAGAGATGGGTATGCAAAAGGACAAGGATATCTCATTAGAGCATAAAGTAGTATTAAGGTCTTGAGTTATACTGTTTTTTTATATGATTATTATCTTGTTTCTCATACTCATTTTCCTCAAAGGTATGTGTTCAAACAACTATGTGCCCATAATTGTTATTATCCTCAAGATAACTTGAGATACCATAACTAGAATTAGAAGCATGACAATCAAGACTATTGTCTTGTATAGACACATTAGTGTGGTTATTATCCTTAGGATAAAGGGATACAATAGGTCTTGTACAAGAAAAATAAGAACTAGATAATTCACGAGTGTGGTTACCCGCAGACACATTGACAAAACTAGGTTTGTTTGCAGACTGAGCCATAATAGATGGTGTAGTAGCTGACTGAACAAACCTACTTTCAAAGACAAGCTGGTTAGGGATAAGGATTAGACCAATGGTTTAACTTGGACATCAGGATTGAGAAACCTCGAGAACATACTTTTGGTAGGAGACTTGTCATACCCCAAAATTTTCCCCCTAGATTCCATCATCCTTCTAGGATCATCAACATTGATTATTTAACCTTAACCTATTTCAAGTTTGTTTTTGTCAAGATATAGATGAATTAGGGTTTCATACAATTAAGAAATTAGGGTTTCTAGGGATTGATCAGTCAAGGTTTTGGATTGATCATACACATAACAAGTCTCTATATCATCAAGGATATCACATGTGATCAAGAATGAATCCAATTTGAGGTTGTCACCAAGAGACTGGAAGCAGTGCAGTGCAAGAACCCTAATTAGGGTTTCTTGTTGGAAAAGTCAACTATAGTTTGACTTTTGGTCTAGAAGGTTTTACAATGAGGTAATTGTGATCCACGAGGCTCATATGACCCAATGAAGTCTACCCAAGAAGTTTCAAGGCCTCAGGGAACCCAAAACATCAACAATCAATTCAGAGATTTTCAACTGTTCAGTTCGTCTATCAAGAAAGTCAACTCATTGACCAACAAGGTTATTACCCCAAATTGAAGCCAAACTTGTTTCCAACATAATTTCACATCTAATTATGAATTTTGGTGGAGATTTAATCAAGAATTGATAGATAATTTGCAAATCAAGAAACAAGGGTAAGTGAAAAAACCCTAATTTTGATCAAACTTCAAATGGTCATAACTTCCTAACCACATATCCAAATGGAGTGGTTCAAAACTTGTTCGAAAGTTCTTAAGGAGCCTTACAAAAGTGTCCTACTGACCCATGAGCAAAAAATGTATGGATTTGGAGTTATGAGTTCATCAAGTTGTGAAAGATTTTAAACACTTAGAAATATCAAGGTTTCTTGACTTGTAAGTTAAAAATTCAGTATTTTCACAAGGGGTTTTACCTAGTTTCAAGTGGAATGTGTTCCTAACTCAAACATCAATATTGTAGTACCTAATGAAGGCTTTCTAAAAAGTACAAGTGGGTTCCATAACTTCTCATGTTTAGGGAGAACCAAAGCTCACAAGTTGGCAAAAACTCATTGCTGCAAAACCAGTTGAGCATGGATGTCTTGATTCTAAAGCTTCTCAAGTCAATTATAATCAAGGTTTAAGCCTCATTTATGATCTTCACATTGCTAATGGAAGTGTTTAGCACTAGCTCCCATGAATTTGGCACAACAATTGAAGAAAATCATTGTTTAATGCATGTTGCAAATATGAATAGTGAAGAAAGAGAAAAATGGTGGCTGCCCACATCAAATCACCAAATATGTTGCATCCAGTCACTTCCTATCCTCTCAAACATGGTTAAAATGACCTCTTGGGTATAGAGAAGCTCTTGTTAGGGTGGCTTGAGGTCAGTAATGAAGATTTGCATTGGTCTCTACAAGATTTCCATGTTTAGAAGGCCAACGTTGGCATTTTGTATCAATCTGCCCATGCCTCCCACTGAATACTTTTGGCTATAAATAGAACCTCATTCTAAAATCCAAACTACACAAGTTCCATGCTAGAAACCAGCTAGAACTCTCTCCCTCACTCA